CAATACGCAAAATTTTGCTAAATCCCAAGGTTTTGAATGAGGGCCAGATTTTTCCTTCATGGAGGGGCAAAAGCGAGGCTACCATTTTGGCACACTTTGGTCAAGTGAAAAGGTCAAATCCTCCGAATGGACTTCCAGGTTAAATTCGGGTATAAAAAGTGTGTACACTACGTGGCTGAGTCAAAGTTGCACTATCTTTGCCTGAGTGACACTCTCTCGTACTGTCTCGTAGTAGTACATATAGTAGTAGTAGTAGTAGCAAAGATCGTGTAGAGAATCTTTGGTAGTAGATTCTATCTAGTAGGCAGTTTAGTGAACGTGCACGCGGCAGGGCGAATCGGCCTCGATAAGCCCCGTAGACTTTTGTGATCGGCCACGAAGCCTCGTGTTTTGATGGGTCTAGAGATCTAGATCTAAACAACTCAGTGTTAATCGCACTGCCACATCCAACAGGCCTAGATCTACATCTTTTTAAAAGGAAAAGAAAGATCATCAAAATGGTTGAATTCGCGTGAAAATCGATTCGGTAGAACTAGATCTAGATCTAGATCTACATGTATTAAAATTTGCTTCTGAAAACAAGGCAATTTTTATACGAAGGCCATTTTTATAACTCTATGAAATAAAAAGTACTGTCTGTGTACTGTGTTATTCTGTATAAATTATGAAACTTCAGGACGTATAATTATTTTCCAACATATTTTGACGCCTGAGCTGTAGAGGTTGAAGTTTTCACAACACATATAGATCTAGTAATAGGGCTTTCCGTAAAAAATGCATAGATCTACAAAAGCCGAACCACCGAATCGACCGGTCAGCGACCCGGGCACCTCGCTCTCCCCTGCACACTGTGATAACGCGTTGCTTCGGTATCGCATTATTCAACTATTAATACGTGCCGCTATGGCAATTGGGATGTACTGACAAATAATTCAGTTTTGTTTTTATTTTACCATATATTTGACCTCGTAAATAAGCAGGTTTAAGGTGGACCCCGGGCCCCGAGGTCTACCTAGCGAAATACTAGGTTTTAGGACAGGTGGACCCCGGGGTCACCGTAGTGAAATAAGTAGGTTTCTTTAAAGATTGGTGGACCCCGGGGTCAGCGTAGTGAAATAACTAGAGTTAATTTTAAAAGGATTGGTGGACCCCAGAGTCACCATAGCCGTAGAGGAATAAGAAGGTTTAATTAAGGATTGGTGGACGCCCGGGACACCTTGATTAAACCTACTTATTTTACTACGGTGACCGCAGGTTCCACCTATTCTAAAACCTAACTAGTATTTCGTTAGGTAGACCCCGGGGTCCACCTTAAACCTACCTTTTTCACTACGTTGACTCCAGGGTCCACCAATCCTTAAAATTAAACCTAGATCTATATGTACTTATTTCACTACGTTGACCCCAGGGTCCACCAATCCTTAATTAAACCTAGATCTACTGATTTCACTATGTTGACCCCGGGGTCCACCAATCCTTAATTAAACCTAGATCTACTTATAATTTCACTATGTTGACCACGGGCTCCGCCAGTCCTAATATAAAATAAACCAAGATCTACTTATTTCACTATGTTGACCCCGGGGTCCACCGATCCTTAGTTAAACCTAGATCTGCTTATTTCACTACGCTGACCGCGGGGTTCACATCCTAAAATCTAGCATTTTGTTAGGTAGACCCCGGGGTCCACCTATCCTTTTGGCTAGATAGACCCCGTGGTCCGCCTATCCACTTCCTTGATAATAACTGAAAACAATACATGCCAGTTGTCATGAATAGTGAAAAAAAATATGTAAAAAAAAAATAAAATAAGGAGGTAGACTATAATTTGTCAAAAAAATTGCAAGTGCAAGTAAAGATCGTAAGATAATTTTGTTATTTTCTAGTCATCTTTTCACGGTTTATAAAATGTTCCATGGGGCCTACTACTAGATCTATGTCTCTGAAGAACATTTTGCTTAACTTTATTAGCTTTTTTCATGTACTTGAAAGCATAGAATATAATATAGTTTCACACAAATGTAAGCTCAATACTTTGAAAAAGAAAGATAAGGTCATTGTTGTTGTTTTTTAACGGAATCCGTTTTACGTTGAGAAAAGCGCTAAAAACAAGTTTTAAAATCTTAAGAATGCCCATAATATTAGGAATCCGAGATTACTACCTTGATCTAGTTGGCTTACTTTTTAATAACCATGAGCAGTTAAGAAGAAAAAAAAGAGAATGATATGGGATTTGTCTAAATATGACCATTAGCAATAAAGATATTGCCCATTTTGTCCAATTATCCTTGCAGTCAGTTGCGCAGGTAAAATCACCCTGTACTGTACCTCAATAAGCACAAAAAGAATATTTCTATGACTTT